GAGAGAAAATTCGCTGGCATTTGAGGACTCAGGTAATCAAACTTTGTGGGAGGGGATTGAGGTTCAAGGTTGGAAGTTTGCATTAGATAATCTTTAAGGTACTTTATGACCCAAGGCACTGGCAGAGCTAGAAAAGGAAACAAAGTCTCTTAGTTATTCTATTCATAACAGTTTTCAGGCTTGACTTTTCAGTGTGTCAATTTAAACAGTCCTTGGCTTAGGCCAGAAACAGCTATTTAATGAGAAGTGCTCATCATGAGTTTTTCACCTTCCCCTGAGCCTATTAATAATTTATTAATTTTCGTACACTGTGTTAGCCATGAAAACACCTTCTCATGTCTGAGGCCTTGCTACATGGAGATTCTGACTCAGTTCACTTAACCACATTTAACAGATTAATTTAACTGGTTAATGCAGTGCGAAAACTAGCTTGAGCTGTTCATTTTGCATTGATTCAACAAGATTTTTTCCAAATGGACTGAACCAGCAGGTCTCGTCTGTGAATACACAGAATATCACAATCCAGCAAGTAATATTTAAACATAAAGCTGGCTGCACTTCCTTCTTTTTCTTTTTTAAAATTGGGGGTAAAAAACATATAAGATTTACCATCTTAACCATTTTTAAGTGCACAGTTCATTAGTGTTAGGTCTATTTACATTATTTGGAAACAGATCTACAGAACTTTTTCTTTTAATCTTTCCAAACTGAAACTCTACAGTCATTAAATAATTCCCCTTTGCTCCCTTTCCCTAGCCTCTGATGACCACTCTTCTATTTTGTTTCTATGAATTTGACTATTTTCAATATCTCCTATAAGTGAAATCATACAGTATTAGTCTTTTTGTGACTAGCTTCTTTCACTTAGCATAATGTCACCAAGGTTCATCCATATTGCAGCATATGACAGGATTTTCTTTCTTTTTAAGGCTGAATGATATTCTATTGTATGTATGTACCACATTTTGTTTATCTGCTCATCTTGGATGAATATTTGGGCTGCTTCCACCTCTTGGCTATTATGAATAGTGCGCTATAAACATGGGTGTGCAAATGTCTCTTTGAGATCTTGTTTTCAATTCTTTTGGATATATACCCAGAAGTGGGATTACTGGATCATATTGATAGTTCTGTTTGTAATTTTTTGGGAAACCTTCATATTATTTTCCACTGCAGTTGAACTACTTTGCAATTCCACTAACAATGCACAGGGTTTTAATTTCTCTGCATCCTTGCCAACATTTGCTATTTTCTGTTTTTTTGTTTTTGTTTTTTCCTTTTCTACAGTAGCCATTGTAATGGGTGTGAGGTAATCTATCTCTCTTTCTTGAGAATAATGGAGCTGGAGTTGTGGAGATTATTTTTTATTATTAATAGCATTAATAACTGTATAGGTGAAATAAATTGCTTTTCTCTTTATACTCATACCTCTATCGATACTCCAGAACACTTTACTTCTGACGCCAAATGTGTGTGTGTTTTTTTTCTCTCACACCAACCAATTTTCCCATCAGCTGGGCATCTACAATTCAATGCAATTCTGACACTATCTACCTGGAGTTAGCTCAGACCCTGTAGGTTAAGGAATCAGTCTTAAAAGTCTCACTTCAGAGCCCAGTTGCAAGTTCAGGTGTCACTTGTGCTTGTGATCAACCAGCTATAAATTGGAGGTTCCCGCTACCCATTTCTTAGGTTCAATGATTTGCTAGAACTGCTCCCAGAACCCAGAAAAAGTTTACTTACTATTGCCAATTTATTACAAATGGTATTTTAAAGGATACAAATAAACAGCCAGATGAAGAGCTACACAGGGCAAGGTTTGGAAGAGTCCCAGGTGCAGGAGCTTCTGTGCCCATGTATTTGCTATGTACCACTCTGCTGTCATATAGATGTGCTCAACTAGCCTGGAAGCTCCCAAATAGCATAGTTCAGGAATTTTTATGAAGGCTTAATCATATAAGTATGATTGATTATTAGCCCAACTTCCAGCCCCTCCCCACTTCCTGGAGGATGTTGGGAGGGTAAAGCTGAAAGTACCAAGCTTCTCATCATGGCTTTGGTCTTTCTGGTGACCAGGGTCCATCCAGGAGCTCACCTCATCAGAACAAAAGACACTCCTGTCACCCAAGAAATTCTAGGAGATTAGGAGCTTCGTGTTGGAAACCAGGGTCAGAGAACAAATATTAGAACAAAAGATGCACCTAGCACCACTGTTGTTCAGGAAATTACAAGAGATTTAGAAGTTCTGTGCCAGGAAATGACTAAAGATCGAAATATTTCTTATTATAAATCACAATATCACAATAACCTATTTACTTTGGGAGATATGCAACATATTAGAGGTAAGAACTCTTCTTACCCTTTAGAGCAGGGTTCCCCAATCTCTGGGCCACGGACCAGTACCAATTTGTGGCCTGTTAGGAACTGGGCCGCAGAACAGGTGAGCAGCTGCAAGGAGACATTACTGCCTGAGCTCCACCTCCTATCAGATCAGCAGCAGCATGAGATTCTCACAGGAGCTTGAACCCTATTGTGAACTGCACAAGCAAGAGTTCTAGGTTGCATATTCCTTATGAGAATCGAATGCCTGATGACCTGAGGTGGAAGAGTTTCATCCCGAAACCATTCACAAAAATTGTCTTCCACAAAACCAGCCTCTGGTGCCAAAAGGTTGGGGACCATTGCTCTCGGGGCCCCTAGACCAATAAAAGAATGACCCAGACATCTCACTATTTCCATGAACTGCACTTGCCTTTTTGCTTGCACATCATATAAAAATTATATTGCGTAAATAAAAAGGAACTCTTAGAATTTACATGTCTAGGCAGCATAAATTTTAGGAGAGAGAGCCATTTCTTTTCAAATGGGTCAGGGTTAGAAAATAGGATTGTAGTAGCCTTTAAAACAAAAAGTCATTTGAAAGCCCATGACTTGATGGGGTTGGGTAGAGTGGGATGGAGTGGGGCAGAGGGAATGGATGGCTGGAATAGGATGGGTGAGGATGCTATTGCAGGATGGGATGTGCCCTGGGAGATCAATGAAGGCAAGAGTGAAATGACAATATAGTTGCAGAAGAACAAATTTGCTTGGAAGGTGTAGAGGAGCTGGTTCAAGGAGCTGAATGAAAAAAAAGGAAGACTCAAGTCATAAGTTCTTTACCTTGTGTCTCTGGGCTTTGGGAACCAATAACCCTGTTTTTATCTCGAATTCAATGAGAAACTGTGATAGGCCTCAATATGGTTTGACCCTGTGTCCCCACCCAAATCTCATCTCTAATTGGAATCCCTATGTGTTGAGGGAGGGACCAGGTAGGAGGTGACTGGATCATGGGGACAATTTCCCCCATGCTGTTCTTGTGATGATGGTGGATAAGTTCTCATGGGATCTGATGATTTAAAAGTGTGGCACATCCCCCTGCTCTCTCTCTCGTGCTGCCAGGTAAGAAGATGTGCTTGCTTCCCCTTCCCCTTCCACCATGATTGTAAGTTTTCTGAGGCCTCCTAGCCATGCTTCCTGTTAAGCCTGTTAAGAGACAATTAAACCTTTTTTCTTTATAAATTACCCAGTCTCAGGTGGTTCTTTACAGCAGCGTGAAAACAGACTAGTACAGGCCTTAAGGAAATGGTGGAGGGAAAAAACACCTTTGGTCCAAATGTTGAGAAGTGATGAAGAAAGTCGTGGGCAGTTCATTGAATGTGAGATGCATGGATGAAATGATCAAGGCTTGGCCTATGGATCCTACTATGGAAAAGGTATGGACAGGATGTGTAAGGTGGTGTGTCTTCATGTTCTTTCACTTTCTTCATTTGCTCTTAATGGTGCCTTTCACTTTGACTCTCTCCTTCATATTTTGTCCTTTGTTATTTGCAGGGTCTGTGTCATAGGAAGTAGAATAACTGCTTCAGAATATCAGCATATCTGTTCCGCCATTTTTGGGTAGAAATAATAATGTTTCACCCTTAACTCCATTAACCATTAACCATCATTTTTACAATGATGTAAACATTGTAAATGTCTATGGCTTACCTTGTGATTTTTGACTCTACTGGTATATAATTTTTTGATGCTTATATATGTCTACTCTCTTTCACAAACTACCTCTTTTACCCTCTTAGGCTTGATCATTGCTTGCAAGGAAGAACAAAAGTCTGGTTTTGTTTTAATGACACTGAATTCTTTCAAGGAAGTCTTAGTTATGCTGTCAAATTTTCTTCCATTGCTTCATCTCGCTAGGCCTTTCAGTTTTACTTCCCATGTACAGTACAGTTTATTTCTTTCTATTTCTTATGGAAGGCTGATAAGATCCTTAACCAGGTTCAACAGCCCATTTTATTCCTGTCATTGCATAAGACATTAAAATTTAATCAAAGCTGCACTTCAGGAAAATTGTTATTATTCTGCTCACAAAATCTCATACTGGTATTTATTGAAGTTTAAGGAGGAGTCGATAAATTGCACCCCTCTCTTCTGTCTTTGACTTTTAACCTATTGAAAAAATTGACACAGGAGTTAAAAAATGAAGATAAAATATTGTTTTATTACTGAAAAAGGTGACTTTAGAACATGCCTTGACTTGTGACCAACTGGGTTTCCTAATTTATTCCCTTCTCCCTCAGTTGTACTTATTTGACTACTCACATACTACTCTCCTTTCTCTCTTGCAGCTATTTCTCCTCTTACAGAAAGGGCTTCTTATTTGCCTTCTTGACTGACAGGAACTGCCTCAATAACTTGTTACCCTTCTGTCCAGGAGATATTTATCCTCCTCTTCTTCTGTAAGGCAAAAAAAAAAAAAAAAAAAAAAAAAAAAAAAAAAAAAAAAACTGCCTCTAATAACTTGTTACCCTTCTGTCCAGGAGATATTTATCCTCCTCTTCTTCTGTAAGGCAAAGAGGGAATGTAAAAAAAAAAAAAAAAAAAAAAAAAAAAAAAAAAAAAAGGGAAGAAGCAGCAGTCCAGTGGGGTGCAGTGGCTCCTTCCTGTAATTCCAGCACTTTGGGAGGATGAGATGGGAGGATTGCTTGAGGCCAGGAGTTTGAGACCAGTCTGGACCACAGATCAAGACCCTGTCGCTACTAAAAAAAAAAAGTGAAGGCCTACAGGGAAAGAAACAATTACCCAGAAGGACACACCTGCTAGAAGGTATTTAAACAATATTCCCACTGCGTACACAAATGCAAACGGCATTTGATCATAACTCTCTCTTTCTCTGTCTGCCACACCCTAGCCCCATGCTTGCTTTAGCACAACAGATCGTGCCTATTATTCACAAATGATTTCTCTTACCTTCCTAGGCCTGGCACTTATTTGGGAGGATGAACAGAAGTCATCAGCCCATGAGATCTTCAGAGAGTCCATGACGATGTTGCACCCTGAGTCACAGGCTAAATGTCTAGAACAGTCAGATGCTTGCTGGGAACCCAGATGATGTTTCTGTGAGTAGGATGAATCACTGCAATCAGTGAAGCTAGAAGTGTAGGTTTTTGAGGAGGTCTAATTACAAGATTTTGATATGTTCTGTAACTGCATACACTGAGGCAGAAAACTAAATAACCCAACTTAGTAAGAAAAACAAGAGAAAAAAATCAATTTTTATCTCAAGCACAGCTTGTTCCTACTCTCCTAATACCCATCAGGTTTAATGATGTTTATCTCTTCTTTTCTGAGAAAAAGATAAAATGGAGAAACTGTTACTATTAAGCAAGTTTCACTAAGATCTCTGTGTTCTTTTTCCAGAAGGAGGATATTCATATAGGATAAAATTTCAACAAATTGCTTTCAGAATTCATGCAAGAATCTCTCCAAAAATTGTGCCAGCTGCTCTCTCGTGCTGTAGTAGTTGAAGTCCAGAGTTGAATCCGCCCATGTGCTGTGCTTCGGATCAGGTAGCAAAGTCGGAATCAGCCAAGTCATGATTACTCCTTTGAAACAAGTTACCCCCTAGTAGGCAAGACCCATGTGACTATTCAGACTACATTTTTCCCTCATCGACAGCATTCCCTGGAGTACACAGGCAAAGCGCCGAGTGTGCGGGGGAGTTCCGAACATGTTCTAGGGTTGGGGGAAGCAAGCGAAGGGGCGTGCAAAGGGGACTCTAAAGAGGGAATGTAGATGTAAATGCCTATGGTGCCAGGCAGGGAATATACATCCATAATCAGATGTCTAAAAATAAAGCATAACAACAATAGCACAAGATGATGGTAAAAAGCAGCTTCCATGGAGGGGAAACAAAAGGGAGTGGTGGGGACTGTGATGAATTGGACAGGACAGTACAATTCCTATCTAGGGAGGTGAGGCGTCCTCTGCTCAGCTCAGGCAGAATGGTGACTGGAGTGCTGCTGGGCCTCCTGCAATCTCTCAAGTTTCAATGGATGGAAAATAATTCAAATATTAAAAACAAAAACACTGGGAAAGTAAAATAAAAAAAATCTTTGTAGGTGAATAGATAACGCTGATTTGGAATATTATAAAAAGACCCAATGTTTTAAAGTGAGGAAGGGCTTTTATGAGTGCAGGACTAACATAGGGGAAGCCTGGGGTTTTCTCTTTATCTTCCTTCCACCTCATACCCCTACCCACCAATCCATGGTTTTCCTGAACTTCTGACTCAGGTTACCATTTATTAAGATAATGAGAAGATAGACAGATGAGGGTCTCAGACTCCTTTTTAAGGCAAAAGATTTGACTTGTGACATTTGTATTCTAATCTGCCATCTCCTTGGTTTCACAAAGGACTCCTTTAATGGACAAAGATTTGTTTTATTCTGTGTCTGGGGACACAGACACACATGTGTACTGGGATACATGCAGAGGAGATGCTTAATTCATACACCATAATCTTCACTTGTTTTATGAACTGGAAATCAATTCCATTTCTTCAGAAGATACACAAATTGTTTGCCCACACCAGAGGTCACGAGTGGTGTCCTGCTGACCAAAAAGACTCAGGGTTAGCCGTAATGTTACATCGAAAAGCTGCAGACAGGCATGCATGCCTTGCCAGTTTCTCTCAGGTCACCAAGCCTGGTTCCACTTCGTGCCTCACACAGTTGTCTTATCTACATAAACACTAAAGCCATTTGGATTTGTTAAGTCTTGACTTACATACACTTTTTAAAGATCAACCGTGATAGATATAAACTTCCTACTGTATAATCTTATTTCCCCCACCATAAATATGGACAAAATTAGAGGTTTGCTCTAAAAATTCATTCTAGTTGAACATGAAGTGAAATGTAGCAAGTTTGTAACTCTTCACTTGATATATTTCTGAGAAGTTTTTTTTTGCCTCCCAAATGCTGCCAACTCCCTTCCCACTCTGACAAAACTAATAATGTAGAATCATTTTAATTCTCTGTGGCTCCCAAAGATGGAAAACTCAGGTTACAGGATAAATCTGGCCTAAATACATACTTTGTTGTGGCTGGGGATAGGGGGAATTGTAGGGGGTAAGAGACAGTGTTTAAGATATTAAAAAATATTTCTCTACCGTTTCAGATCTATATGCTCTGTGCCTACTGCCTGGAAACATCTGAGTTTGTGGCCTCTGCTGAATACAAATACAGAGACTCGGGTTAGCCCTAGTCAACAGCTTCTCCATCATCAGGAGTATCTGGGATACTGGCCATAGATTGATGCTGTGATGGACCACTCCAGGAGACTCGGAGCTTCTTTAGGCTATGTCTTCCAGGCTTCATGAATACCATGGAATCCCTTGTACTAAGATCTAAAGAAGTTTCAAGTGGTCAGCCCTCCAGAGGAGGTTCATCCATATCTGAATTCCATTCCTTATCATCCCAGGAAAAGTTTGTATCTTACCCCAAGGTATTTACCTGTCTGTCGCAGGGGTAATGATTTAAAAATGTATCAGTTTGCTATCTTTCTTCTTTTCTCTTTATCAATAGCTCTCAAGCTTAGCCTGTGCTAGGCAGCATCTGTGGGAATTGAGAGAAGAGCTGGGGAATAGTATCAGTTTGCTGCTTTTCTTCTTTTCTCTTTATCAATAGCTTTCAAGCTTAGCCCGTGCTAGGCAGCATCTGTGGGAATTGAGAGAAGGGCTGGGGAATGGGATATTTTACAAAAGAAAAATGCTAAGGAAAGAGAAGGACATAGTCAGATTTTGGTATTCAAAAGCAGATTAGTTCTTGAGACAATAAATAGGCTTGCAAACCAAGATATGGTACTGAAAGGAAGTTTCTATTTCCTTCATGCCCTCAGTTGAGAATATCAACATCATTCAAATCAGACTGGATGGATCACGCATCCTCCCAGGTGTGAAAAGGATGCCCTGTCTGCTCACGCCAGCCTGTACCCTCTGAGAGGGGGAGAAGAGAGTGTATAGGAGAATTAAGAGAGCATTGCCTCCATTTGCTGGTCCTATAATAGTGTGGGAGAATGGAGGCATTGAGATCTGTGCCACTCATTTTTTCTTCTCTGGGTTTAGGCCTGGGGAGAAACAGACGTGTTGGGTGAATGAAGATAACACCAGAAGGAGTAGGGTCTGATTGATCCTTGTTTTCCTGTCACACAGCCAGAGGGTATAATATTGAGTTGTTAGCACCGAGAAGTCAGAGGTTTAGCTTTTCTGGGATGCCCTAATTCCTTTGTCAGGAAGTCACTGAATTGAGAGCCAGTGGGCCTGGGAAGAGGGCTGGTAGAGCAGTGCAAGGTGACCCTCCACTGAGGACGTGGCAAGAGACTTGTGGGTCTGCAGCCTGTAGGAGTCAAACGATGGTGAGTCAGCAGAGAAACACTGTTTGGACCAGGAGGATGAGTCTGAGTTACATTCACTTTGGTGTGTAAGGCCAGCAGGACTCAGGCACCCCAGGAAGACTCAGGCCATTGTCCTAGGTCAGCCAATGCACACAGTATCCCAGTACAAGGTCAGTGGACCCCTTGTTCTCACTGAGAACTCTCATACACTAGAATGCCAAGTTAGAGAGAGAGGCAGAGGCAACCTGGGATCCTGAGCATCCTTTCTTAGAGAGACTGAACACTGTTTTAAGGAGCCATTAAAATTACTGACTCAGATTATATCTAAAGCAAATTGAACAGAAGTTAGGAACTTGCAAGAAATATGTTAATCATAGACTATATGGACAATGTTTCATCCACTTTGCAAATGTGAGTTAAAGTGTGAATTAAAATTTTTTGACTCTGCTCCATGTATAGGCAGATGGAAAGAATCTGATCCTTCCTCAAAGAAGTCAGAAAATTTTTAGGTAGGGGAATTATATGAACCTTCCAAGTCAGAAGACTGTCATTAAGAAAATTATCTCTTTTATTTAGTCCACAAAATGGTACAAGCCAGTCATGAAATGTTTCAGCACTTTATAAAACCAGCCTCTGCCTCTTCATCCTCCTCTTTTATTTAAATCACAAAATTAATGGATTCCTTTATTTTTGCTTACTTACCATATACCTTTGCTTCCTTCTGTATTCCTTTCCCTTCTTCCTATAAAACGTCTTTCAAATAGCTTCCATGTCGGTATATTTTCAGACATCTTACATATCTGAAAATGCCTTTATTGTATCTTCACTGTTAAATGCTAGCATTATAAGATCTAATACTCCGGGGTTAATGAACTTTGTTTTCAGCAGTTTGAAGGTAGTAGCACATTGTATTCATTTATCCTGTGCAGCTGAGAAGTCTCACATAAATTTCAGAATTTTCTTGAAGGGGATTTTCTTCTCTTGTGCCCTTCAGAAGGCTTTGTCTTTAAAACTTTTTTTTAATCATAATGAGTCTCAGAAATGACTTTGTTCTCTCAAGCCTCCTTGCTGTCTAAACTTTTTCAGTCTGCAGTCCTGGGTCTTTCTTTAGTTCTGAGAAACCCTCATTAGCCATTTCTTCACATAATTTCTCCTTTCTCTTATTTTCTCTTTTGTGGACTCTTCTGTTCTTTATATCACTTATTCATATTTTTTTCTCTTTGAATATCTTTGTCCTTTCTGACGTTTTCTGGGAGAGTTCCTCAACCCAATCATTCTGCCCACCAATTTATCATTTAACTTTGTCCACTGTGCTGTTAATTTCTTCTATTGAGTTTTTATTTCAATGCAATATTTCATATCGAATTTTTCAGACTGTTTTTATTTTATCATTTATCTGGTTCCTGCTTTATGTGTCCAGCATTTTGCTTGTTTTGTGTTCTGACAGTTGTGTATATTATTCTACTTGTTTTAAATTCCTGTTGCATTATTCTTTTATATATATATTTTGTTCTGTTAGTTGACTTGTGCTTTATAAATAGTCTGATTTGGCCTGATTGTCTTGCCGCCTTCTGCTCAGGACTGTGGCCCCACAGGCTAAGAATTTCACTCCGTTGTGGGCTCGCTGGTCCCAGTGCACAGAATGGGAGATTAGGCACTAAGACATTCAAGTGGAGTCTCCTGTTGTTGGTGGATAGTCCCACTGAGAACACGTTTACCTGCTACACACCTGGTCTGTCAGAAATGACCAGGGTATGGCTAATTTAGTGTGAAGTTCTTTTGAGTTAGAAAAAATAAATTTAGAACATGGTTGCTTTGCTAATTCCCATGGAAGAGTTGTTTGTAGGGTGGAATATGCAGCATTAGTACAATGAAGGAAAATAACTGTAAAATCAAAAAGTAAGCCAAAGCTAATATTTTCAATAAGATGAATAAACAAAAAGCTTTGAAGCTGAAATACTTATGGATATTAAAATGCAATTTCATGAAAAGTCTAGATCTCTAGCTCCAGCTCTTTATCAAATAGCTTAAGGAAAAATACATACATTTTAAGTCTGTCACTGCTTTTGCTTCATAGCTTGTCAGTTTCATCAACCAAACTGAAACAAATTTTCTAGAAAACCATTATGAACCCAAAGTCAATATTCAGTGTCATCATTATCTTCTCTGTCATCTTCTGCTGATTAATTCAGATACTTTTTCCAATAAGCCATGGATTAATATTTTAGTGCAAATTCTCTTCAATTACATCAAAGAGAAAAGCAGGGGGAAAAACATATGGGTTAACTGCAGCAAGGGATCAATAATTCTATCAGTTCTTTTCTGTCAATTTGAATGTCTCCCTTCACTTTTTTTTCCCTATAATTTTCCTTTTTTCCTAATTTATGCTTCACTTTTAAATATCTGGCATTCTTTTCTTTCTTTTCTTATAGGGTTCTCTTCTAATACTCCATCTTCTATATACCTACTTTGTATACCTACTTTAGGAAGAATTATTTAAAGTATTAGTGTAAACTGAGAGAAGACATAAAGCAAATAATTGTTTTAATATTAAACAACATTTTTATGTAAATAAAATGAGTTTATTCCTGTGCTACTAAAAATATTAGGAATTAAAAGCTCAGTGGATATCTACATTAAAATCTGAAGAGACCAGAACTGCATATAGAGTCATTAAAATTAATATCCCCAGTTTGAATTTGAGTGGTAATTTAAAATCATGTTTACCTGTTTGTACACTTTTCTTTCCAAATAGAAGGTGAATAGTATGTTGTCAAAACTGTCTTTTTCATCTTTATATCATAGGATTTAAAAGAGTTCCTGACACCTAGCAGAGGTTCAGTACTATGTTTAAGATGAATTAATGAATGAAGACATGGGTTTAGCCAACAATATCATGGCTAACTACGACCTGCCATAGACTATCATTGCGACATTGTTGTCAAAGTAACAGAACAGACTTTGAAGTTAGATGCCTTGAGTTTAAATCCTGGGATTTTGATTAACTAGATGTGTTACTCATCAATTGCTGCATAACAAGTTACCCCAAATCTTAGTGGCTTAAAACAATATTTATCCCACAGTAATTTTTTGTGGGTTAAGAATCCTGGTACAGCTTATCTGGATCCTGTCTTAGGCTCTCTCATAGGCAGGAATCAACGTGTTAGCCTGAGCTGTCTTCATCTTAAGATTCAACTGAAGGTAGATTTGTTTCCAAGCTCATTCATGGTTGTTGACAAGATTCAGCTTTTTTTTTTGTGTGTGTGTGAGCTGTTGATTTGAGGGCTTCATTTTCTTGCTGGCTCTTGGCCAGATGCCACCTTCAATTCCATGCCACATGCACCTTTCCATAAAGCAGCTCCCATTATGGCAGCTGTCTTCACTGCGGTGATCAAGCTGGAAGAACTAGAGTATGAACAAGCTGGAAGTCAGTCTTGTGTAACCTGATCTCGGAAGTGACATCCCACTACTTTTGTTGTATTCTATTTGTTAGAAGTCAGTCACTAGTTAGAATGATATGGTTTGGCTGTGTCCCCACCTGAAATCTCATCTTGAGTTGTAATCCCTATAATCTCCACATGTCAAGGGAGAGACCAGGTGGAGGTAATTCAATCATGGGCGTGGTTTCCCCTGTGCTGGTGTGATAGTGAGTGAGTTCTCACGAGATCTTGTGGTTTTATAAGGGGCTCTTCCTCCTTCATGCACCATGCTCTTTGTTGCCTGCTGCCATGTAGTATCTGCCTGTTCTGCCATGGTTGTAAGTTTCCTGAAGCCTCCTGAGCCCTGCGGAACTGTGAGTCAATGAAACCTCTTTTCTTTATAAATTACCCAGTCGTGGGCAGTTCTTTGTAGTAGTATGAGAACGGACTAATACATTAGTAAATGTGAATACCAGGAGGCAGGGATCGTTGGGGGCTACTTTAGAAGGCTGCCTACCACAATAGCCATATAACCTTGAAAATTTGCTTAAGCTGTTTTGCTCGGTGTCCTTACCTGTGAAACAGGAATACTAATAGAACCCACCTGTTAGGGCTGCTGTGCTAACCATACTAAGAATGTATACGCTAGTGATAAGCAAAGTGCTACACACAGAGCAAAATTCAGTATAATAATACTGTGCTATTAAACCTGTTACTTTTTAGCGATGTTACCTCTTTTGTAGGTTGATTCTTTCTTCATAAAGTGAGAATTGGATGATCTCTGAGTTTCCTTGTAAGCCTGAGGAATTTACTGATTTTCTAGCCCTAGGAATCTATAAACTTCTTCATTTTCAAAAATCTAAACTTTTTTGGACCCCACATTAGCGTTTTTTCCCCTCACTCTTGTAATACCTCATTAGGATCACATAGAAAAAAACTGGTATTTCTGAAGGAGCAATCCTATTAATGTTTGGGACAAATCAACTGTTGCAGGGGCCCTGCCCTGAGAGCCAAAGGTTTATGAATTTTAGTCCCCACTCTGCCTGTTGAAACAAGTTCTTTAACCTCTCCTGTCTCAGTTTGTATAATTCATGGAGGGTGAGTTGGGCTGGATGAGATAGCGTTCCTTCTAGCTTTAACAGTCTTTGGACCTGATTTCCATTGGCTGCATATATTAGTTTTCAATTCTCCTTTCCATGTGTTCCATATGTAGTTACTTAGGGCCAATTTCCTCAGATTAGTATTCAGGCATTTTTAGAACAGTCTCAATTTCACAAAGATTATAGGATATAATTATAGTTTATATGATTTTAGGAACTATTACAAGGTAAAGAAAAATTATTGTGATAATCAGTAAACCTCTAAGATATTCTTACAAAGGCCATTTTTAGAAAATCACAGCAAATGAAGTCAGGTGATTTTATTTGTATGCAGCAGGTGAAAAAAATGCTCCCAAATGAGGAAAAATATTTTGGGACTTTTGGGTTGACTAGAATTCAAAGTAAAAAAAATAAAAAAACGGATTATTTTCTGTAATGATTCAACTCATTGGAAGTTCTTGAGGTGTCAGTTATGCCTTCTTAGAAATAGCTCTAGACATTTACAAGTTGTTACAATAAGATAAGGAAATGAATTAAAAAACCTACCAGATCTTGTGCGTCCAGAGAGGTTCAATCTCTTCCAAACAATCAATTTCTTAGGATGCTATTATTGTTTAATATCTTTGAAATTCCTTTCCTGAAACTACCTGTAGAATCTGAGGCATATGCTTTTGAACATGCTCACTGATGAAAACTCTTTTGTCTGTTTCCTGAAATCAAATCCACAGTCAAAAATCATTTAGAAGTAAGAACAGTAGGTTAAAGGACAGATCAAACTGGATAATACTTTTCAGTGTATAAAACAGGGAACAACAGCAAGATGAGAGTGATTTTCTTACATTGAGAACTAGCTCCAAAGGTGGTTCAAAAGAGGACTCCTTAAATTGTTTACAATGAGGAGTCTACATAAAACAAAACCAAAAACTCTTTCTGTGTCTTTTGTCATGTTAAGAGTCACAAACTTACATGACACTGTTTACCAATGAAACCTGCATATGTACCCCTGAACTTACAAGTTAAAAAAAGAAAAGTCTTACAGTTTGCAGGATGTGTTACTTGATTTGAACCTGAAGCATCTTGGTAGTCAATTCAAATTCTGGTTCTACCACTTAGGAGCTGTGTGACATCGGGAAAGACCTGGTTTCCCAGAGCTTTATTTTCACTTATAATGTGGGAAATAATATGTCACACAGATGAGATGAGTGTTAAGTGAGGATGTGTGAATATATCTCACAAACTGTAATGGGTGATACCTATGATAGTTATTAATGCCATTTTATGCATAATTTCTTATCTAAATTTAATTAAACTATAAGCTCATAAAATATTCCTATAAAACATGATAGGAAAAATAAGGGTGACATTTTCAGGATACTTACTGCCAATCAGGCACCCTACTAAGCTCTTTATAATTTTTTACAAGCTCTTCATAAATTATATCGCAATTTACTTGTATAATTTTAAATTTAGTCATGAACATTCTGAGTTTCCATTGTATAGGTGAGAAAACTAAGGTTTAGAGAGTTTAATTTTGCCAGAGTTATGAAACTAGCAAATGAGGGAGCTGAGGTTCAGGTCCAGATCTGAATGACTCCCAAACCAATGTTTTAAAAGCCCTATGATACACTGCTTCCATTTCTGGCAACCATGTGAAGAGAAAAGGGATGTACAAGATTTTGTTATATTGCATCAGTAATTACCAGATTTAGTTGCATATGAGAATTACCCTGAATGTTTAAAAACCATTGCAACATCCAGGGCACACCATAAATCAATTAAATTCCTTGAAGGTTGAATCCAAACATTAGCCTTAAGCAAAACAAAAACTGTTCAGGTGATTCCAACATACAGCCAAGTTTGAGACTCCAAGTATTAAGGTCAGTCCCTGAGGCTGACTAGGATAGTTGTGATGACTGTGGACTTGGGAGTAAGATGATTCTAACTCTTGTTTGACTGCTTGGGAGTTGCACGGTTACGGACAGGCTACTGCCCTTCTCTAAACCTCAAACGATACTGAAAACATGTTTGTGGGTAAAATCAAATAACCCAAGAAATGTTCCAGCACACTGCCTGGACCTACAAAGAAGTGCTTGGTGGTAGAAATACTTTGTATCTCAAGCTCATTCTTTGCACAGATTTTTGGTTGCTTCATGAAACTTTTAAGCAAGTGATCTTCTGCCCCTGAATGAAAGCAAGAGGCTACCATTGGCTCCTAAAGTCTCTTTTGAATAATAATTTTATGCCATTTTTATTTGGGACGTGTATTTCTATAAGTGGTTGACAATATTTAGGAACAGAAGCAATGAATTGCTTATCCTGGGAGGTAACCCAAGTCACTTGGTAATGAGAATAGTTATTTGATGATTTGACAGTTAATATTGGTGTTGTGGAAATGGCCATGTACATATATTTATAGACGTGTTTTTTGTTTTTTGTTTGGTAGATGTCACCCTTTCTCCTTATAGCTTGTTTACTTTTCTCACACAGGTGTAGGCAGGCAGCAGGGTCGTTTGAATTAGTCTTTCAAGTGAGTGTTTAATGAAGATGAGTAATTGCTTGCAGCTGCATGTATCTGTAGGGATTTGTTTTTCTTTTAGTAGAGAACAAGATAATTTGCCAGACAACTTTGGAAAGGGTGATCTTGGTTGTCCCCACATACTTGAGAGTGACTGCCTCTTGCACCAAAATGCCATGAAACTTCCTGCCTCCCTCCAGAAGACACGCCTCCTAGCTGGGGGACAGGCAGCTCATTTTATCTTGGAGAAGGTTTCTCCCTTCAATATAAAAGGTAATCAATGTGGTTTCAAGTGAAGATTGTAAACGTGAATGACTCCTTGAGGGTGTGGCACTATGGCCTGATCAATCCCAGATTTGTTTCCACTTTACCCCTAATTAAGACTGAAGTTTGAACTGCTGGCATGGCTGAACGTAGATTCTGAGATTTTTTTCACTTAGAAACAGAATTTTCTAGACTTGATCTATGCAGAGACTTGTAGGGGAAAGAACAGGATTGGCATCAAAGATAGGGGTTTAGAAGTCATAAGTCGGACATAAGAGAGGCAACCAAGGAACCACAGAGTTGAGTGACTGGACCAAGACCCTTAACCAGTGGCAGGGCTGGGTTCTAAATGTGTATCTGAGATCCTCCAAAGCGTGTTCTTCACTTCACACAATTCCCTGAATATCCTCACCTGTGAGGAGGCAGAATCATCCCCTCATCCCTCAATGTCTGAAAACCCATGTACACATCTTACACAATGGGTGTATTCTTGAAGAGTTGTGAGAAAAGTTGCTTTTGTAAATCAAATCACATACCATGTTTACAAGGAATATTAATATTTGAAAGGAATTCAATCTTAAATCTTTTTTGAATTCTTGGTAAATATAGGTATTATTCAAAGTGAGGCTTCAGTATAGTTATAATCATCAAACTACTAGCAAATGTTATTTTAACATGTTAGTCCATAATAGTCCAAGATGGATTAATTTTTATTACAAAGTATGATTCTTGATTTTTTTTTTTTTTTTGGTGAAGTTGCGTTTGATGAGGAAGTGCTATCAAATTACAAAAGGAGAATTGACCAAGCAGGAGAGTTGAGCTCTATCAAGCCAGCTACTTGTTTTATCCACTAGAGGGTAGCATTGGCATTGGAATGACACGTAGACATTTACAGTTCTTCAAATTGAAAGCGCTGCTTGTGAAATGCAGACTATGCCAAATCTACAATATATTAAATGATTTGATAAAAAATTAGATATCACAGAAAACACCAAGTGATTGTAATTGGATTCTTCTGTATTACTGGGCAATGTACACCCTGAAGGACATTTTTAAGGCCCTGTACCTGTGTCTCCTGGCAGGGGTTACTTCCGGCCTCAAGCCAACCACGTGCCATTTGGGACTAAGACCTTTCCTTCTCACCTTTCCACCTCAATTCGTGCTTCACTTCTCCATTTGCAAATTGTCAGCATGCTGGGGAATCTGTGAATTACCTTCCCTTTCCTTCAACCTGCAACCATGCTTACCACAGAAGTTGATTCTCTTGAGGAATTCAACACTTGTGACAGGCATTTCTGCTTATCCTCATTAGAATGCTGTGAGGGGCCTGAGGACTGCCGTCCTCATGCCCTTTAACATAGGAAGACAGAGTCCTCATGTCATTTCACATCACCCTTCTGCTTGGTAGTGGAGCTGGGATTAGATTCTGGTTGTGTTTTGTGTAACTCAGCACTGACTTGAGTGGTTTCCAGTACTTAGCAGGGACTTCCTAGGTATATGACTTTTTTTTTTTTTTTTTTTTTTTTTTTTTTAACTTAGCCCCTCATCCACCACATTGCTGCTAGCAGTAACTACGAAACCACCAGAATGAGTAGTAGGTTTGTTTCCAGAACAAGATATTTAGAAGAGGTTGTTTTTTCCAAGAAAGAAGTATTTTTGTTTGTTCAAAATTTTAATCTGTGGGAGGCACCAATATTCAGACCATAGCAGGCAGCAAACAATGAGATTGTCTTGGAACTCAGTTTTCCACCTGGCCTGGTAGCTTTACTACAAACATAGTACATTGTTAATCACTTTATTTTCTTTTTTGCATTTTTAGAATTTTTTGATAGTATTTGTACATATTTATGAGATTCGTGATATTTTGTTACATGTGGAGAGTGTTGTAATGGTCAAGCCGGGGTATTAGGATATCCATCACCCCAGATATTTATCGTTTCTATGTGTTGGGAACATTTCAAGTCCTCGCTTCTAGCTATTTTGAAATATAATATACGTTGTTAACTATAGTCACTCTACTCTGCTGTTGAATATAACCTTTTCCTTCTACCTGTATGTTTGTACCTGTTAACCAACCTGTCTTCATTCCCCTATCCCCAACATGAATCCTTCCCAGGAACTGCTGTCTATCATTGTACTCTACCTCCATGAGATCAACTTTTTAAAGCTCCTCCATGAGAACATGGGATATTTGTCTTTCTGTGCTTGGCTTATTTCACTTAATGTAATTATCTCCACTTCAATCCATGTTGCTGCAAATGACATGATTTCATGCTTTCTAATGGTCCAATAGTACTCCATTGTGTATATATACCACATTTTCTTTATCCATTCATCTGATAATACTTATGCTGATTTCATAGCTTTGCTATGTGAATAGTGCTGCAATAAACACGGGGGCCATAGGTATCCCTTTAAAATAATGGTTTCCTTTCCTTTGGCTAAATACCCAGTAGTGGTATTGCTGGGTCATAAGATAGTTCCATTTTTGTTTTTTTGGAGAGATCTTCATACTTTTTTTTTATAGTGGCTATACTAATTTACATTCCTACTAATAGTGTCTAAGTTCCCTTTTCTCCACATCTTCACCGACAACTGTTATTTTTTTGCCTTGTTTCTAATAGTAATTCTAACTGGGGTAAGATAATATTTCATTGTGGTTTTGATTTCATCTCCCTGATGATTAGTGATGTTGAGTATTTTTTCACATATTGGTTGACCCATATACCTGTTGGATGTCTTCTTTTGATAAATGTCTATTACATTTACTCACATTTTTTAAGGAGATTATTTTGCTGTTGAGTTTACTTTCTTGTCTACTCTGGTTATTAAGTCCCTGGTCAGATGAATAATTTGCAAATATTTTCTCCCATTCAACAGGTGTCTGTTCACTCTATTGATTCCTAGTGTGTGCAAGCGCTTTTCAGTTTATTTATTTATTTATTTTTTGAGAGACAGTCTTGCTCTGTCACCCAGGCTGGAGTGCAGTGGCATGAATGTAGTTCACTGCAGCCTCCAACTCCTGGGTTCAAATGATCCTCCCTCCTCAACCTCCCAAAGTGCTGAGTTGCTTTTCAGTTTAAGAGTCCCACTTGTCTATTTTGTTTCTGTTCCCTGTGCTTTTGAGGTCTTAGCCATAATAAAATCTTCACCTAGACCAATGTTACCATGTTTTCTTTCTTTGTTTGAAGTGGAGTCTCACTCTGTCGCCTAGGCTGGAGGGCGGTGGCATGATCTTGGTTCACTGCAACCTCCACCTCCCAGGTTCAAGCTATTCTTTCGCCTCAGCCTCCTGAGTAGGTGGGATTACAGATATGTGCCACCATGCACAGCTAAGTTTGATTTTTTTAGTAGAGATGGTTTCCCCATGTTGGCCAGGCTGGTCTTGAACTCCTGACCTCAGGTGATCCTCCTGCCTTGGCCTCCCAAAGTGCTGGGATTACAGGCATGAACCACTGCACCTGACCCCACTGTGTTTTCTTTTAATAGATTTATAGTTTTGGGTTTTACATTTATCTTTATCTTCATTTGATTTTTATGTATGGTGAGATAGGGATCCAGTTGCATTCTTCTGCATGTTGATATCCAGTTTTCCCAGCAGTATTTATTGAAGAGAGTGTCCTTTTCCTAATATGTTCTTTGCATCTTTATAAAAAAATCAGTTGGCTGTCACTATGTGGATTTTTGTATGGGGCCTCTGTTTCTATACCAGTACCATGCAATTTTGATTACTAGAGTCTTGTAATATATTTTGAAGTCAGGTAGTGTGATACCTCCAGCTTTGTTCTTTCTACTCAGGATTGCTTTGGCTCTTCTGGCTCTTTTCCACTTCCATATAAATTTTTGGATTGTTTTTTCTATTTCTGTGAAAAATGACATTAGCATTTTGATAGGGATTGAATTGGATCTATAGATTGCTTTTGGTAGTATGGTTATTTTAACAATATTCTTCTGACCCATGAGCATGGGATATCTTTCCATTTATTTGTGTCCTCTTCAATTGTTTTCATCAGTGTTTTGTACTTTTCCTTATAGAAATCTTTCACCTTTTTGGTTAAATTGATTCATAGGTATTATATTTTACTTCTATAGATATCGTAAATGGGATTGTTTTCTTGATTGCTTCATCGGCTAGGTAACTAATGATGTATAGAAATGCTATGATTTTTGCATGTTGATTTTGTATCTTGCAACTTCACTGAGTATTTATCAAATTGAGGGTTTTTAAATGGAGTTTTTAGTTTTTTCTAGATATGTTATTTGCGAAGAGAGCAACTTGACTTCCTCTGTTCCAATTTGAAGGCCTTTTATTTCTCTTACCTGATTGGTCTGGCTAGGACTTCTAATATTATGTGATATGGTTTGGCTGTGTGTCCCCACCCAAATCTCACCTGGAATTATAATCCCCATAATCCCTACATATCAAGGGCAGGACCAGGTAGAGGGGATCTTTGGGGCGCCTTCCTCCATGCTATTCTCTTGATAGTGAGTTCTCATGAGATCTGATAGTTTTATAAGCATCTGGCATTTTCCCTGCTTGCACTCACTCTGACCTGCCTCCCTATGAAGAAGATGCATGCTTCTCCTTTGCCTTCTGCCATAATTGTAAGTTTCCTGAGGCCTCCCCAGAAATGCAGAACTGTGAGTCAATTAAACCTCTTTTCTTTATAAATTACCCAATCTCAGGCAGTTCTTTATAGCAGTGTGAGAATGGACTAATACATTAAGTAAAATTCGAGTGGTTAAAGTTAAACTTTCCCCTAGGGTCTCTTCCTAGTTCTTAGGGGAAAGAATGCCAGGTTTTCCCCACTCAGTATCATGTTCACTGTGGGTTTGTCATACGCAGCCTTTTTTATGTTGAGGTAAGTTCCTTCTGTGCCTACTTTGTTGAGAGGTTTTATCATGAGGAAATGCTGAATTTTATTAAATGCTTTTTAAAAATCTATTGAGTAGAGCATATGGTTTTTGTCCTTCATTCTGTTGATGTGATGTAGCATATTTATCGATTTGTGCATGTTGAACCATCCTTGCATCCCTGGGATAAATCCTACTTGATCATGGTGTTTTATCTTTTTGATGTGCTGTTGGATTTGGTTTGCTAGTATTTTGTTGAGGAATTTTGCATCTGTCCTTATCAGGGATATTAGTCTGTATTTTTCTTTGTCGTTGTTGTGTCTTAGTCTGGTTTTGGTATCAGGATAATGCTGGCCTTGTAGAATGAGTTGGGAAGAATTCTCTCCTTCTGAATTTAAGATAGTTTGAGAAGAATTGATGTTCTTTGCAAGTTTGGTAGAATTTGGCAGTGAAGGCATCTAGTCCTGGGCTTTTCTGTGTTGGGAGACTTTGTTATTGATTCAATTTCATTACTCATTAGTGATTCTTTATATATTTTCTATTCCTGATTCAATCTCGGTAGGTTGTATGTGTCCAAAAATTTATTCATTTCCTCTCTGTTTTCCTCCTTTGTTGGCACATAGTTGTTTATAATTGTCTCTGATCTTTTTTGTGTCTATAGTACCAATTGTAATGTTTCCTTTTTCATTTCTGATTATGTTTGGGTTTTCTCTAGTTTTTTTTTTTCCTTGGTTAGTCTAGCTATCGATTTTGTTTATCTTGTAAAAAAACCAACTTTTCATTTTATTGATTTTTTTTCAATATTTTGTTTTTGATCTCTATTTTGTTTAGTTCTGCTCTAATTTAAAAATTTCCTTCTACTTTTGTGTTTGGTTTGTTCTTGCTCTTTTAGTTCTTTCAAGTGCATTGTTAGATGGTATATTTGAAATCTTTCTACTTTTTTGATTTAGGCATTTAGTGTTGTGTACTTCCTTCTATATCCCATAGGTTTTGGTATATTGTATTTCAAGACATTTCTTGATTTCCTCAATTTCTTCATTGATCCAGTGGTCATACTGGAGCATGTTGTTTAACTTTCAAATATTTGCAGTTTCCAAAGTTTCCCTTGTTATTGCTTTTAGCTTTATTACATTGTGGTCTGAAAAGATACTTGATGTGACTTCTATTTTTAAAAATTTGTTGAGACTTGTTTTGTGGTCTAACATATGGTCTATCCTGGAGAATGTTCCATGTGTTGATGAGAAGAATGTGTATTCTGCAGCTGTTGGATGAAATGTTCTATAAATGTCTGTTAGGTCATTGAATTATTCAGTTCCAGAATTTCTGTTTGATTCTTTTTTATGATCTCTTTGGTAAATTTCCCATTCATATCCTAAACCGTCTTTCTGATTTCCTTGTATTGTTTACCTGTGTTCTCTTGTATCTCATTGAGCTTAATTATTTTGAATTCTTTTAACAGGATTTTTGTAAGTTTCTTTTTCATTGTAATCTGTTGCTAGATAATTGTATTTCTTTGGAGGTGTCATATTTTCTTTTTTATGATTTTTGTGTCCTCATGTTGATATCTGGTGCATCTGGAGTAACAGTGGCTTCTTCTAATTTTTTGGATTTACTTTCTTGGGAGGACTTTTCCAGAAGATGTATCTATGGTGTTGGTTG